TAAAAAAAACTATTCACTCCACCCTCACTTGAATGTACTCACCTTTTGTGTTCATATTTTTCTGTTTTTGCTAATGCCTTTCCTGTTCCACTTATTTTTCTTATCTAAGAAGAAAAAGAAAAATTACAAATACAATTCTAAGCCATAATCTCTTTATAATATACTACACAGTCTAGTCAATCAGTGGGCCAGCAAACTGCAACTTCTGCTATTTTTCTGCTATTTAAAATAAAATGGCACATCCTAATGGTAAACGCTGTTGCACACAACAATTCTTGGTAAATAAGAGCAACTCTTAACAGCAGGCACAGTAAGAATACTTTAGACATACTAATGTTTCATAAAACTGTTTAGCAGATGAATTCCATAAATCTAGTCATATTAACTTTTGACAGGTAATACTTTTGCAATATGGATAATGTGGTTCTTACCCCTCTATCTTCCAAAGTTCTCAACCTGGCCTCTAATTTGGCTCTGTTCTCAACTCCCATTGCAGAACTGGAATCCTCACCGAAAGCATCATAACGGATAGCCAAAACAGTTTTGGCTGCCAGCATTCGAGAAATCTAATAGAAAAACCATGAAGAACATACATTCCACGTTCAGATGTAAGGTCCTCAACAACTTACTTACTCATGAGACAGTTTCAGCAAATCATATTATCATTTATTCTAGAATGTTTTAAAACGAGTTATAGAAGTATTAAGAATCATACAATTCAAATCACCCATCATATTTCAACCTTTGCCACAACCTAATGGCCATACATCAGCACCAACACTTCTGTGGTTGAAAAGATTTTATAGCAATTCATGTAAAACAATAGCTCAAACTTTTTTTTATTTTTTTTGAGACTAAGTCTTGCTCTGTCACCCAGGCTGGAGTATAATGGCATGATCTTGGCTCACTGTGACCTCTGCTTCCCCAGTACAAGCATTTTTCCCTGCCTCAGCCTCCCAAGTAGCCGGGATTACAGGCACGTGCCACCATGCCTGGCTGATTTTTGTATTTTTAGTAGAGATGGAGTTTCACCATGTTGTCCAGACTGGTCTCAAAACTCCTGTCCTTGTGATCTGACCTCCCAAAGAGCTGGGATTATAGGCATGCGACACTATGCCTGGTTTTTTTTTTTTTTTTTTTTTTAAACATTTTTAAACTTTAGTTTCTACTCAGTGACATTAGTTCTCTGCCTTGAGATTATTCAGAACAAGTGCATCTTTAACCCATAATAATCTTAAATATGCGTGGGTTCTTTTTTTAAGTTTATTGAACCCTTTATTACCTCTACCACTCTACTCTAGATTTTACCAAATTTCAGTTTACTTCTGTTAAACTACACTACTTCTGTTAAACTACATATCATTCAAAAAGACTGAAAGTACTTAACTTGCCTAAGCCTCAGTTTCACTATCAATAAAACAGAGATACATACATCTCATAAGGCTATTACAAATTCAGGCCAGGCACGGTGGCTCATACCTGTAATTCCAGCACTTTGGGAGGCCAAGGCGGTGACCATGAAGTCAGGAGCTGGTGAACATGGTGAAACCTCATCTCTACTAAAAATACAAAAAACAGCTGAGTGTGGTGGCACGTGCCTGTAATCCCAGGCTTCGGCTGTTGGTCAGGCTGGTGCAACTCCTCATCTCAAGTGACCCGCCTCAGCCTCCCGAGGAGCTGGGACTATAGGTGTTCACAACCATGCCTGGATAATTTTTGTATTTTTAGTAGAGATGGGGTTTCTCCACCAGTTGGTCAGGCTGGTCTCCAACTCCCGACCTCAGGTGATCCACCCGCCTCAGCCTCCCTAAGTGTTGGGATTACAAGCGTGAGCCACTGTACCCGGCCACAAAATGCTTTTTATATAACTCACCTTTCTCTATTTAAGAAGAAAGAGACAATACAAAGATTTAATATACACTATAGAGAAGAAAAGTGGTTATATTATTAAAAAGTCCAACCTCAGAAAAACAAAAAAACAAAACCATGTTAACACACCTTTCCTTTGTGCTTGGGACTTGTCTGGCCGACGAGGGAAGCATGATAAATGAGACCATACTTAGGAGTATCCCGTCTAGATTTGAGGGCTCTGAAAAGTGCCTTTTCTGCTCCAAGAATTTGAACTGTAGAAGCTGCATGCTTGGCCAAATTCAAAAGAGAACCTACAAAGACAGAAAGTTACAAAGAATGTACTTCCAAACACCTGAATGTTCTATGTACTAAAACAAAAGACCTATAGAATTATTATACCCAACATAATAAAATAAAAATCACATATAATATAGAATTCTTTAAGCCAGAATTCCCTAAAAAGCCTGATGTTTCGTTTGTAATTCCTTCATCAGCACAAGCAGGTTTGTGATGAATGCCGAGGGCAAACTGAAGGTTAAGCTTTTTGGCTCAATGTTTCCACTCACCCCAGAGACGGCAGTATTACTCTATATTCCATTAGTATACTACAGGAGTAACACAAATATGTCACACACAAGAACACTAATCTGGACCCTGCTTTCTGAGATTGTATCAAATATTCTATTGCTTTAGATATGAAAAAGCCTACAAATAAACACATTTATTAGGACATCTCGGTAGCATAACCATACAATAAATTCACAACTTATTTACTCCTGTTGATTCAGCTGTGGATTAGGAAAATATATTCCTAGAAGTATATTAATAGTTCTCTATCTGTGGTTTCACTTTCTGTGGTTTCAATTACCTGTGGTCAACTGCAGTCTGAAAATATTAAAAAGGAAATTCCAGAAACAAACAGCTCCAAAGTTTCAAATCTCTTGCCACCATACTCAGTCCCCCCGAGAACATGAATTATCCTTATCTACCCATTAGTCACTTTCATGGCCCTCTCCACAGTGCAGTATTGCAGTGCTTATGTTCAAGTAACCAATGCAGAAAAATAGTGACACTGGGATACTGTCATAATTATTTTATTATTATTGTTGTTGATGTCCTACTGTACCTAACTTATAAATTAAACTTTAACATAGGTATGTATGTTTAGGAAAAAACAGCATATACAGCATAGAGTTCACTACTATCCTCTGTTTCAAACATCCATGGGTGGGGGTGGGGGGCTCAGAATATATCCTCATGGATAGCTGGGGACTATTGTACTAGTGAGTTATCAACATGCTGCTTAGCTGGATATGTTGTATAGAATATTTCCTGTCAGAAAGCACACTCACCATTAATGAAACAAACTTTACCATGAGACATATTTTTTAAAGTGCAACAAATACATACTTCTTTTTTTGAGATGGAGTTTTACTCGTCACCCAGACTGGGGTGCAATGGCACAATTTTGGCTCAGTGCAACCTCCGCCTCCTGGGTTCAAGAGATTCTCCTTCCTCAGCCTCCTGAGTAGTTGGGATTACAGGTGAATGCCACCAGGGCCAGCTAATTTTTGTGCTATTAGTAGAGAGAGGATTTCACCATGTTGGCTAGGCTTGTCTCAAATTCCCAACCTCAGGTGATCCACCCACCTCAGCCTCCCAAAGTGCTGGGATTACAGGCGTGAGCCACCATGCCCGGCCAACAAATACATACTTCTATTAACCCCTGCCATCGATTACTGCTACAACTTTAGCTGTGTGCATGAAAACAGGTGAAGAAAGTGAAATCATCTGATCATTACAGCTGCAGGCACTTGAATGAAACCTTTGATTAATGATGCAGCTAAAGAAATTATGCCAGACTGCATGCAGTGGCTCATGCCTGTAATCCCAGCACTTTGCAAGGCTGAGGCAGGTGGATCACCTGAGGTCAGGAGTTTGAGACCAGCCTGGCCAACTCAGTGAAACCCCATCTCAACTAAAAATAGAAAAATTAGCCAGGCGTGGTGGCGGGCACCTGTAACCCCAGCAACTTGGGAGGCAGAGGTTGCAGTGAGCAGAGACTGCCACAGCACTCTAGCCAGTGCAACAGAGTAAAACTCTTGTCAAAAAACCCCCCCCAAAAAAAAAAAAAAAAAGAGTTATGCCATTTTAAACACTGATAGCATTTTAATTACAGCCTAGCATAATATTGCCATACATGCATACAAAGCTTTATTATAAATCGGTTGCTGAAAATATTTTTGAAAGTCATATATCAATTACAACCACACACTCAATAGTGAAACTGAGATAATCAATCAACGGTATATATCCTCTATAGTGATTTCTTAAAACTATATTTAAATCTATGTCTAATGAGTTTATTATGAAAATGTTAACTGTTTTATCCTCCTACATTCATCTGATTATTCTAATTAACCTTAATAAACTTCTAACAATGGACCCCCAAGTGTCTCAGAAGAGGTAGTGACTAAAGATGCCTTCATTATCCAAAAGGAAATCAGGCAAACAAATAAAAATCATCATTGAACACTTGGCCCTTATTCATCTCCTACATATCATCTACTTTTGTGTTATTACTTAGAAAATTTCTTTTAATAGCTGTAGTTTAAAGATGTAAACAAAGTCCTAACCAGAAAATACTTCAAACATTGATGTTTACAAATAACATTAAAATCATCACCTGCATGAGCAATAAGCCGCGCTCCAACTAATTCCCCAACCATAACTGTAACATTGGGTGCAATGGCCATCATTCGATTTTGTAGATATTCATAGAGCTGGGTTCGATATTCAGAGATTTCAATCACCTAGTATAAGGAATAAATTAAGTCACAAATATCAGTAAAAACAGTATAAAATTCCTATGTCTAAAACACTGGGGCCCTCAATATGAAAGAGCAGCCACACAACCCTGGCTACATCAACTCTGCCTAACATCGGTTTTCTATAAAATGGCTGTTGTAAGGACTTTGTTATATAATATACATAAACCACTTTATACTGCCTGAAAATCTTTTGAAAATTCAAAAGATTCTAAGCAATAATTCTCTGCCACCTTAATGGATTTTTGGTTAATTATTCAGATGATGATTATAAATTACTTCCTTTTAGTATGTATTTCCCCTTTTTAAGTATACAAATCATGATGGCATCAGATGAGGTAGTGACTGAACACCTTCATATTTACGTTATCAGGGAACAACAGTAAGTGCAAAAATCATCATTGCCATCAGAAAAATTATCATAGAGCTGGTAGTACCACATCTAGATTCTTTAGGAGTAAAATTTACCTGGGTGCAAAGATGCAGAATATTGCAAATATCTTCTTCTGAAACCTCTGTTCCCATTGATATCTCCGCAGCTGCTTTCACTTCTGCTTCAACTTCTTCTGGTAGGAACTCAGAAAGTTTGGCAGAGGCATAGTTCTTCCTATCGCCTATGGAATGTTTGCAGAGGATGAGCGAGAATCACTCTTCAAGAAATTATATAAAATCCAGCAAATAGTCAAAAGAAAAAGTAGAAAGCCAATGAAAAGGATGCCTAAACAAAACAAAAAAATGAAGAAGTTTGACCTAGTATAATAGTTTTTCCTCTTTTAAGGGTTTGAGTTTAGAGATAAAATTTCTCCCCACCACCTTCCTCCAAAAAATAGAGTAAAAGCTAAATAACGATATCACAAAACTCATTTCAGAAAATAAGTGGCAAATATTTAAAAAGACAGGACTAATAATGTCACAGCCTTTATACTGAAGCTGAGGCCAGTAATTAGTAAGCCAAGTAAGCCACTATTTATCAACAATCAAGCTCCTCTGTATGTTAACAGTACAGACAGCGATATGGCTATTTAGTATCAGGTACTAATGTCATACTACAGGCCATCAAAATCTAAGTTAAAATTCATTTTGTTTCTTAAATTTAAGACACTAAATTGCTACACTTCCCAAATACATAGAAATTGCAAAAATCCTGGGAATCTTGCTTAACAAAATGCTGTAACTCATGGTTTAGGATGCAATCAAATTCCTTTTTTTGGGACAGAGTCTTGCCCAGTCACCCAGGCTGGAGTACGGTGGTGGGATCTCAGCTCACTGCAACCTCTGCCTCCTGGGTTCAAGCGATTCTCCTGCCTCAGCATCCCAAGTAGCTGGGGTTACAGGTGCCCACCACCACACCTGGCTAATTTTTGTATTTTTAGTAGAGATGAGGTTTTACCACGTTGGCTGGTCTCAAACTTCTGACCTTGTGATCCTCCCACCTCAGCCTCCCAAAGTGTTAGGATTACAGGTGTGAGCCAGCATGCCTGGCCAAATTCATTTACTTTCAGTGACCTAAAGGACAAACAAATTACTCACCAACTTTCTGTAAACACTTGCAGTATGTCAAATTATCTGAAATAATTTTTCCTAATTCAGGGAAATGCCAGCCATACCATTCTCTACATCGCATAATGTAGTTGTTTAGTTCTTTATCCAAGTCATCTAACAAGGCTGTAGATTAAAATGAAAACAAAACAAAACAAAACAAAACAAACAACAAAAAACAAAAACCACAGGAACTTAAGAGATTTATTGTGGTGAAATATACATGACATAAAATTTAACACTTCAACCATTTTTTTTTTTTTTTTTTTTTTTTTATGTTTTTTTTTTTTTTTTTTTTTTTTTTTTTTTTTTAAGATGGAGTTTCACTCATGTTACCCAGGCTGGAGTGCAATGGCGCGATCTCGGCTCACCGCAACCTCCGCCTCCTGGGTTCAGGCAATTCTCCTGCCTCAGCCTCCTGAGTAGCTGGGATTACAGGCACGCACCACCATGCCCAGCTAATTTTTTGTATTTTTAGTAGAGACGGGGTTTCACCATGTTGACCAGGATGGTCTCGATCTCTTGACCTTGTGATCCACCCGCCTCGGCCTCCCAAAGTGCTGGGATCACAGGCTTGAGCCACCGCGCCCGGCCCACTTCAACCATTTTCAAGTGTACAATTCAGTAGCACTAAGTACATTTACAATGTTATGCAACCATTACCACGGTCTATTTCCAGAGCAATTTTATTGTGAGAAACCAAAAATTCTGTGTCCATTACTCCTCGTTCCCACCTTCCCCCAATCTCTAGCTATCTCTATACTTCTGTCTCAATGAAATGACCTATTCCAGGTACTTCATATAAGCAGAATCATGCAGTATTTTGTGACTATTTCACTTAGCATATTTTCAAGGTAAGTATCAGAATTTCATTTCTTCTTAAGGCTGACTGATATTCCACTGTGTGTACAGGCTGGGTGCATGTTATCCAAAATGCTTATGACCAGAAGTATTTCAGAATATTTGCAAACACATATATCTTGTCTAAATAGGAAATCTACATTTCACATATACCTTACATACAAAATCCTGAAGGTTATTTTATGCAGTATTTTAAATAATTTTGTGCATGAAATAAAGTTTTGACCATCTGTCACATGCGGTCAGCTGTGGAGTTTTCCACTTTTCGCTTTATGCGGTAGCACAAAAAGTTCTAGATTTTGGAGCATTTTAAATTTCAGATTAGGGGCCTTCAAGCTGTATACAAAATGCAGCTTTATCCATTCATCTGTTAAAAGGTATTTGGGTTTCCATTATTTGGTTTTGTAATTAACACTGTTATGGACACAGGGGTACATGGAAGTCTGACTTCCTGTTTTTAATTCTTTTGGGTATAAATCTCAGGTAGGAAGGCGGACTACCTGAGGCCTGGAGTTCAAGGCCAGCCTGACCAACATGAAAAAAATCCTGTAATCCCAGCCACCCGGGGGGCCAAGGCAGGAGAATCACGCCATTGCACTCCAGCCTGAGCAACAAGAGCAAAACACTGTCTTTAAAAAAAAAAAAAAAAAAAAAAAAAAAAAAAAAAAAAAAAAAAAAAAAAAAAAAAAAAAAAAGATTTCAAGCTTTCAATCTTTCTAAAAATCATTTAAATGACATAGCAGAATACACAACTACAGATTCCACTTTAACGTTTTTAACATTTTATGAAAAAACGCAAATGAATTAATTTATATAATATTAATTCTGTGATTCACATAATCTCCAAACAGCCAAATTATGGGTAGTTTCTTTTATTCTGCATTTTCAAATTTATTTACTTAGTATAAGTTTTAGCTGATCTTCTTTCTCCTTCCCCTTTTTTGAGATGCATTCTTGCTCTGATGCCCAGACTGGAGTGTAGTGATGCGATGTCGGCTCACTACAACCTCTGCCTTCTGGGTTCAGGTGATTCTACTGCCTCAACCTCCTGAGTAGCTGGGATTACAGGTGTGCACCAGAAAGCCTAGATAATTTTCTTGTACTTTCAGTAGACATGAGGTTTGGCAATAGCCAGGCTGGTCTCGAACTGCTGACCTCAGGTGATTTGCCCACCTCGGACTCCCTAAGTGCTGGGATTAAAGGCGTGAGCCACTGTACCTGGCCTCCTTTTTCTTTCTCAACAGAAAAATCATAAAAGGTAGTTTCAACAGTATAAAACACATGAAGGACAGAGCAACAAATCAGACTTTGCATGAACTATACTTACAAATTGCCTGAACAATCATTGTGTCTACTTTATCAGCGCTAAACTTCAATCTATATCGAGACAGGCTGGGGAGAAAGGAGAAAGTAAATTAGTAAGATAGCATTTAGGAAAAGCACTTAAATTAACACCTTAAAGTTTTTTTTTACTCAAATCCTTCTCAAAGCTATAACTGGTTTTTCTTTTTCTTTTTAGCCAGTCTCGCTCCGTTGCCCAGGATGGAGTGCAGTGACATAATCTCAGCTCATCGCAACCTCCAACTCCCAGATTCAAGCGATTCTCCTGCCTCAGCTTCCTGAGTAGCTGAGATTATAGGGGCCCACCACCATGCCTGCTAATTTTGTATTTTTAGTAGAGATAGGGTTTAACCATGTTGGTCAGGTTGGTCTCAAACTCCTGACCTCAGGTGATCGGCTGGCCTCTGCCTCCCAAAGTGCTGAGATTACAGGCGTGAGCCACGGTGCCCAGCCTATGATTTGTTTTTCTAAGAAGAAAACTCAGCTAAGTAGAAATATATCATGCAAGATCAGAAAGCACACATTTAAAAAAATTCATATATACTGCTACAACCTGTATTTCTGTAATATAAATGAGTTTATGTATGAATGACAAATAGGATAAACTGTGTAATACAAAAGTTATATTGGAGTAGGTGTGGTGGCTCATGCCTGTAATTCCTGCACTTTGGGACCTGGCCAACATGGTGAAACCCCATCTCTATTAAAACTACAAACATTAGTTAGGTGTGGTGGGGCATGCCTTGCCTGAATCTCAGTTACCTGAGAGCCTGAGGCACAAGACTCATTTGAACCCAGGAGGCAGAGGTTGCAGTGAGCTGTTAGCACATGCCACTGCACTCCAGCCTGGGCAACAGAGCAAGACCCCATCTCACACACACACACAAAAACAAAAAACAAACCACCATATTGGTTCATGCAATATTTTACAACACATTAATGCTTTACACTACCAGTTAAGAACTTTACAGCACTCTTGACACATGAAAACAGAAAGCTGTGGAGGAACAATATTGTCTGCATATGTTGCTTCATCTCAGCACAACTGACATTTTGGGTCTTCTAATTCCTTGTTGTAGTGGCTGCCCTGTGTATTATAGGACCTTTAGCAGTATCCCTAACTTTTATCCATCAGATGTTCATGGCAGACCCCACCCTACCCCTAACTGTAACAACCAAAAATGCCTGTGGGCATTGCCAAATGCCCTGCCAGGGTGCAGCTGATTGCCCTCGGTAACGAACCACTGCTACACACAGATTTACCCAAGTTTGGATTTTCGACTCAGTTTTACTATTTGTTCCCTCTTAGAAATGATTACAAAGCTCTCCCTGACCTTCGTGCGTTTTTGCTCTTATCCCTAACTTAGCAGCTTCAACCCTTTCAATCTATGCCCACCTTTTAATTTTGTTTAGTGTTTCTTTTACATGAACTTAAGATGTCTTTTGAATTGTAACAATTTTAGTAGGAATAGTATTTGATAGTGCTCTGATTATAATGTTTCATAGGTTTTGAGTAACTACCCATCATTTTCTTCAAAATCCCATTATCTGTAGTGCAATTCCAGAGTATTACACTTTTTCATGAACAGACGGATCACAACATAGCAGTAATGCCTATTCTAAGGGATTTCTAGTTAAATATGGTAGGGTTAATGTGCAATTAAAAATA